AAGAGTTAGGAATAGTAGCCAGGGGTGCTTGGGGCGGGACAGGTGGGGGGGTTGGCTGGAGGTCCATTCATGCCCCCCCCGGGTTTTCGCAGTGGGGATGGAGGGCGGTTTCATTCTGGGTCACCCGAGCTTACGATGTTCTCTCCAGTAGCTGTATGCGTAGGATTAGCAGTCAAGTTTCTTGCAAGAACGTGTCGTAGTAGACTAAAGGTCTACTGGCAAAACGGAAGTATTTTCAGAGTTATTGCATACCACCAAAATCTGACACTTTTGGTTGGATCTGGGCGGTATGGGATAGTTTCTTTTTTAAAGAAGTTTGGGGCAATGCTGGTATGCAATAAGTGTCAAGTATGCGACAAGACGCATAAACAACGGTGTTCGGCGCCCGATTGGGTGCTAGGATCTTAGGCTTATGTGGTCCGTATAGGTGATTACTTACTACACCCGGGGGGGCCCTCCAGCACAGAAAAAGGTCTATGTTAAGAAATGTCTATGCTCCATGGCCATTCCGTACTCCAGCCCGCACTTGGATGTACCCAAAATTAAAGTAGTCTGGCATCATTGAATTAACGTGATAAGAACGCTACATTGTATCACATCCCCGCCACCAAGGCTTAGCAATGCTATAAGAAATAAATCCGATTAATAGAGATGCTTGATCTTGTTTGTTCGTGAGGTCAAGCCCCAAACCAAGGCAGACGAGGCAGATATCTGAGTGTGGGCGGCTTGTTTGCTTCTAGCCTGATAGTGGGGCCCTCGCACAGTCCGGGTGGTACTCGAGTAACCGTTAACTTGAAACCGTAGACTAACCGCTTAAGGAATTTCAGGGCCCGAAGGCGTGGATGAAGGAAGGGAAGAGAGTAGGTTCTGGATAAATGATTCGCGAGGGAGACACATATCGCAGTGGCCCCCTCCTACTCCTTCGTATTGCTGTCACCCATTTCCTATCGAAACCCGGGGAACTGACGGAAACAACTGCTGTATAAGCCGCCTGCTTCTTTCTGGGTTCCATACTAAGCGGCGGCGTGTAAAGTGCGGCCAAAGGGCAAGAAAAGCAAAACAGAAAAAAGAGGCCGATGATGGGTGTTCTGTTCCACCTTGCCACTATGCCCGAGTGAGCTGGATGGGCTGCCCGGTACTGCCACTAGCCATCTTGTCCGTTGGGGTTTTCCATACCGGTGTTATACTTTATTTTTGACAACGTCGGAAGAACTATTGCTTTCGTGATTAGGGTTAGAGTCGATATACAGCCCAGTATTTGAAATAAACGGACAACATGTCAAGAAAGGCATAAAATTTGTCAAAAAACATTAAAGACATAGGGAAAAATCCGGGGCTAGTTATTATAGTGGGTTAGAATTTACACTGTTCTGGGATAATGGATTTGCTTACATGTGCCTCCGGCGGACCACTCTTGAAAAATGAGAAGATTTTCCGAGACTTGTGGGGCTGGCACTTTAGATCCTCTCTCCTAAAGAGCTCTACCTCTTGCACTTTTGCAATTTATATCGTAAAGTTTTTTTTTTTTTTGTGTTTTGGTTTCCGTATTGCCGTGGGAGTCATAGCCATGGTGGCTGGGGGCTTAACATATCATACCAGGCACAGACGAAGTACTCAAAGATTCCCCGGAAGACAACTGTCGCTCGGGATTCTGGAGGTTTAAAATATGAAATTGGGTCGAAATTTTTAAAAATATCGAGTATGGGATTCATGGGAGTTTTTTATAAGACCGTACGCCCTACCGGTGCTTGGGCGTGTAGATAATCGGCGTAGGCGAATACTGACCGAAAATACGTTAAATGGACATTTCTCAGGGAACCTGTCGTATGTTTATTGACCGTGAAGTGGAGAGGGAGGCTCAAGATAAGCTTCTTTTTTCGGGACCGGAACCGGTGCCTGACCTACCGGACCACCGTCCTGTGTACCCAGGTACTGGTACTGGGGATCTTGGTAGGAGGGGTCGGTGTGAGAATTGGGGAAAGTGAATAAGAGCAATCCTTCGGGTTCCAAAAGGGCGATTCCTGACATCCTATGGGAACATTTGTCGGTCTGTATGAAGCGACCGGGATTTCTGCCAGGGTTTTAGTTTCTCACTTCATTTTGGAGATGCTCATCGTTTGGACTTTCCATGCCCCTGGCCTGCCCGGAAAAACCAAGTGTGATCCGGGTCGGCTCTCCATACGTCGGAGGGTAAGAAGCAAAATGCGGGGGGGCATACCTCCCCTCAAACATTCTCTACGCAATGTCGGGATACCGGTGCTGTACGAGTGCAGTACAGCACTTTCCTGTTGGTCTTGCAACTCATACTCATACAAGTAAGTTACAGCAGGTAGTATTCCAACCCACCGGCATCTCACTGCACCCTCCTGCCCAGCAACCTCCGTGATGCTCTACCGGTCTGGGATTTACTACGAAATACGGTACTTATACCATTGCTCTAGTATTGCCTTCCTACTCGCAGAATCAGATGGGGCACTACACGGGAATCTTTTACCGCTGGGCTGTTTCTGGAATAACGCATTATGTTTGGGCTGGAAATCTCGCACAAAGATTAACTGCAGGCTTTCCCGAGTATCACAAGAAGTGGGGGTGGCCGCTGGAGTTGCCTAAGTGTCCCTGGCAGCTCGGACATTATAAGCACCGAGCGCGGGGCGGGATTCGGCTTGAACCCTAGTCCGCTGAACCGTTTGCGGGGTACTGATAGCAGTAAAGCCATACCGGTACCGTATCATAATTTACCTCCCTTGCTCGTCTAAGTTAATGTGACTCCGGAGTGGTACCGGTATGGCATGTGTGCCTTGTTATCATGCAACCCTGCTACTTTTGCGGTGGGTAAGGTACTGCGCACGATCTATTTTCTGCTTTCCAGGTTCACCCTGATCGGTTCTGGAATACCTCAGTGATAGAAATGGGTATGGTACTATGCCCGTGCATTTCGCGAGAAAAAGCCTGGAGTTTTACGAAATGGAGAGCTACTTTTGTTTATGCACTTTTATGCGGGCGAGCACACCCTCACCGAGCTCCATCTACTTCTTCACTGGGGGCGGTTGATGCACCAAAACTAATGGTTGTGATGACTTTTCTTCCCTTCCATCTTCTCCGATATTCCGCCGGTACTGTAATACTAGAGCAGACGCTAAGCAATGTAAAGCACGAACTGTATTTCTCCGCTGATATAATGAAAATTCATGGAAGGAATCTAGCTAAAACTTTTAGGCGCTTCACTCTATACACGTAGGAATGGTGATATTTTTTTGCAAGGTCTGTGGTGGATGGTTAATTCGGCTGGTTCATTTAGTGCGGCCAAAGCAACGAAACTAGAGGCAGCCGGCGCAGGCACATCCTAAATACTCGAGTAGCGCGTGCCTATTTTGGAGGGTAGGACAAAGGTAGGATAAACCTGCGCCGTTGGATTGAGGCTTGATAGCATCCTCTCGCTCCACAAAATCTCGGTACGCTCTGAGCCGCAAGAGTTAACCAGGGAGGAGTTCAGACAACTTTGTACTTTGCAGGCACTCTCTCTCTCACCACACAGAGAAGGGTCCGACAGGGGGTCTCCGGCTTGTCGGGGAAACACCTGTGAGTAGAAAGTGTAAGGGGGGGAACAAAAATCTGAGGGATCGATCACATATCAAAACTGAGTTTACCGGTTTTACCCACGCCGAGAAACCTATTTTTCCTCTTTGAAGATGCTGATTTATTATGAGCCGGTTTCCACAATGGTGGGAGGCACAGTACGGTGGAGGTCGCGGTTTGGTCATCTACCATACAGTACATCTGTGGCGGCTCTGCTTGGCCTCCTTGAAATCACAATCCGGTAGGCGGTAAATCTTCTAGTGGGTTGCCTCATCTAACAGGGGAGTAATAACACCTTGAGAGGCTACCGCATCTCTTCTAAGGACATGGGAGGGGAATATTACGGAGGGCGCATGTGGTGCAGCAGTGGGCGAGAAAGCTTGTCCCAGAGCCACATAAAGATAGAGTAGTAAAATGTAGTTGACAGTTTTAAGCAGACGTTTCGAAAATACAATAGGCATGGCTGGGGAAGAGGCTATGACACGCCCATGCATTGTTCGGAATGTACGAGTGCGGTAAATCTAGTTCCACTAGCTGCGTATGTGGAAATTGGAAATATTAGAGGATACTCGAGTATGGTAGTGCGAGTTACTTTTGCACTGTGGGTGCTCTAACACTAAACTGGTAGTCGTATGATGGTCTCGGCTGCTACTTGTACTAATGGAACCGAGCTTGCAATCCCTCATTGTTGAAGCTCTCTATCCCACTTGGCAGTAATTCACCCTTCACCATTCCCAGTCCTTTTTTTGTAGTTTGTATGGTGAAGCAAAGTAACAGAGTATTCTGTCTAGTGTATGGGATGAACCTTATACCGCGAGCTTTCATCAGTCATGCAGAGAGCTCCGGGGTTTATGGGTAACGAGAGTGGTAGATGGGGGATGCACAGGGGTGGGTCCAAGTCAGGTACAAGATCGGTGTATTCGCTATCACACCATTTCACCCCTCCCCCCCCACAGGTCAGGACCCAGAACGCTTTGGTGTTGAAAGAGTTCTGAACTGGTTCGTGCGAGGACCCTGGGACTCAGTTGATTCCAGGTTGCGTATCGGTGCTCTTTCGATTTTCGTATACTATAGAGCTGCTCTTGCACTCTTGCACCAAACAGAGAAAAGTATGTCCAAAATTATCGCCCCCACTCAGTTCCCCAAAATCCTTACATTTTTAGTTGTCTAGTGTCCCGCGCTTCATTGCGCCACGTGAGCCGCGAAAAGTATTGTTTTTCTCCCGCACCGTATGCCTTCTCCCCACCCCTCCACCAGCGGTCTCGGAGGCGGCTATGTCCTATGGCAGTAACCAGCCTAGCGGGAACTCACTCACTCTGATCTATCTTACTTCCCTCCCATCCCCATCGCATTTATAATGCCACAGCCTTCCCTTGATTCTTGGTTTATAAAGGACCATTCAGTTACAACGGCTACCATTTTCTGCCCTCCATCATGTTGCAATCCCACTTTACCAGCGACAAATTGACAACATCTTTCCCTTTGGACACCAATTGGCCACCCAAAAAGACGTTGAAAATGAGCGATCATCCTAGTCGCCACCACTCGTCACCTTTCCCGTCATCTACAAATCGGTCGTCTTCGTATGATAGTGTTGGAGGGGGTATCGATGCACTGGAAATCGTCGCCCCTAGAAGCTACTCACATTCACCTGCTCCCGCTCCACCTCCAAGCACTGGAACAGACGGCGCTGAGCTTCAACCTTGGTTGTATCAGCTTTTCCCGGAATCTTATGCAGACAACGGTTCATATTCCTTATCACCGCCAACAGAAGGTCACTATTTGCAAGGGCCAGATGGAACTTTAATATACCAATCGCCAGCGACAACTTCACGATCAATAGTTGGGCAGACTGTCCTTCATACTTCTCCTGATGAGAGTATTTATTCTTCTGCTGGTTCGAACCCTTTCTTCACCACATATTGGTTACTGCGTCATGTACTGCGCCGCATGTTTCTCCGATGCAGAGTATCCGGTAAACTTAAGTGATGCAAGACTGAGTATATCTGGATTGACAGGTGTTAATCGTGCAGAAGAGGCCTTTTTTCAAACATTCGAAGAAAGTCGCGGTGTCGCCGACTTTGAGAGGTACCACAAAACTCCTGTGTTGCCGCAAACTTTGTATCCAAAAGTTGTTCGCAACTAACAAATATTACAAAATGGGCAGGCACACAACGGTTAGACTTTCGCCCTTTGGTTCAGAATACGATTCGAGCTCTTCAGAATACGATCCTAGAGATAGAGGAACTACCCCCGCTCTCTCAGACTACTCTCCGCAGATTCCCTCCCGCTCTCGTGCGAACTCAACTAGATCTAGCCCGGCACCACCAGGCTTCTCTCCGGACCTCGGATCTAGCGCATCGAGTGCCCCGACCAGCAATCCTTCTTACTCCCACCTTGTTGCAACATTTGCCGCACCAAAGAGGAGAAAGAGCCGCAGAAAGCTCGGCCCCGATGAGAGGCGCGAGGTCCACCAGTTGAGGAAGATGGGAGCTTGCACTCGTTGTTGGGGTCTTAAGATGAAGGCGTGTATTCTTCTCTCCCGACCCCTTATAGCCCCTGATTCTAACAGCTCCGATAGTGTGGTGAAGGAAACCCTTGCCCTAGATGCGAGAAGCTAGGAGCCGGCACCATGTGCGTGCGAGTACATTTTGTGGACTTGGATGTTTTTTCAAAGTGTAAAAAAGGGTACAGAATATGCTTTTTTAGAGTCTTTACTAACATTCGAAAGGGCTTGTGGACGCATACTCTCGAACGATGATGCACCATGTATTACGTTGGTCGAACTCACCGGCGCGCACTGTCACAGTATCTCATGAGAAGACTTTGGGTGTCACTCTCTCACTCAACGTTTACGAATTCATTCCGGCCTACCCAGGGCAGCTCGTCTACTGGTATAAGGATGTTTCTGGCTGGCAATCAATGGGAACAACTTCCTACGCTATGAAGCGTGGGATTAACACCGAGATTTTAGAGAAGTACATTGACGATCACACCTTGTTCTTCGTGGAGAGCGCGTTTACAACAAGCCCTATCCTCTCGGAGGTCTTCAGGTCTGCCTGGAGATATTCTAGGAGTGAGGAGAATTTTATGCTCAGGGATGCTCTACAACTCTGGACCGCGATCCAGCTACTCTTAAACGGAGCTACTCTCCACCCTTCTTCCGACTCCCTCGGCATTGGCCCGATCCCCTCATCCACCTGCCCCTTGGCCAACCAGACTCCCCTCCCCAGGGTCCTTGCGAACCAGCTCGACCACCTCATTGAACGTAGGATCTGGCAGCTCGAAAAGCAGATCTTGAACGAGCTACAGAAAAGGATCTTTGGCAGGAAGCGTGAGGATTGGCTCAGGATCTTCCTCACACTGGTTGTTCTCATGAGCGCGCTTGAACGTGATTCGTGGAGACTCTACTACTGGGTGTTCCACATGGAGGATGGTTATGCATGGCGCCATCCTTCTACTCCTCAAAGGCTAGTCGAGAAAAACAACGTCCTAGCCGAGTCACTAGCGGCACACTTTGCCGCCATCAGCAAGGGGCTCACTCCTTTCTCGTTGGACTGGAGTCGGGAACAGACTGTAGCTCTGATCGGCAACTGTGAGGATGCTCCGCTCATGTTGGAGTCCATGGAAAGGATTGGTAGAGGCCTGAGGAGTCCTGGTAGGTTTACTACTCTCTCTCTCTTCTTTTTTTTTAACCTTGGGCCTATTACTGATTGTAAATCTATAACTATAGATCACGCTCTGCGAATTGAGAATGTACTCTCGCACTACCGGGAGAGTGACGAGAAGAGCTTAGACTTCCTATACACCTCCAAAGTCATGGTTTTGTAAAGCAGCACATGGATTTTTTTTAAATTTTTTTCGGTGGGCACAGGTGGGAGGCCCAACCGTTCAGTGCAACCGCCACGGGAATCAATGCTCCGGCTGTGCGGCAAAATCTCCATTATAGAAACGACCCGAGTTAAGACATGTGTGTCGAGGGCGAGGGCGAGGTACGGTACGGGGGCGTTATGAATTTTTGGCCGAGGTCTTCTTTTCGTTTCCCTTTTTTTTTCTATGATACTTGTTCTTTTTTGCATACGTCTTGGGGTTTCCATTCTCTGTAAAAACTTTGGGAGACTGTTTTTTTTGGTCTTTCCCGCTTTTTCTTTTTTTTTCTCACGACTTCCTTTTCTTTCCAGTTGTGTTATTGGGCTGCAAAACTCGCGAGTACAGGTGTTTTTCCTTCTGCATTTCGTGCATCACTTTAGGGACAAGGGCGGGAAAGGGGACATGTTGGGCTGGGGCTACTTTCTTTCTTTCTTTCTTTCCTTTTTTTCTTTTTGCTCTTCTCATCTTTTCTGCTTCAACATGTTTAGGATGCATAGACTTTGTTCAAGGCCGGCTTTTGCCATTCGTTAGAATTTTTCTCCGTTGTCTTTGGGTTTTTATGCATATAAAGGAGTATGATTTTCTCATGTATTCAGCTATGAGTTTTACCGTTGCATCACGAATTCACGAGTTTAGCTCGTCACGTTTAAGAAAGAAGAGAGTTTAAAGCGGGTCTTCTGGGCTTTTTTTTTTTCTTTTTTTCCGCACAATCCGACCATTTTGGCCTTGGGGTACGATGCTTTTCTAGAGCTCCATTTATTTTTCTGCATTAGACACATTTCTCGTATACATAAGTACAGTACAGTGTGTCTAGGGTCCGAATAGGTTGTTGGGTTACCAAATGTGAGCATCTCGGATGCTATCATAGCCTTGCATACACCGGTATGAGTACTCGAGTATGAGCCGTGCGTTTGTATAGGGGTCATTTCCCATGCTTCTGCAGGGGACCCGACACTCTTTTTCTCTCCTGATCCGCCCACCAAGATTGTTTCCTATCGATGCCACACTAGAGTTTATGCCGTCTAGGGCCCATAACTAATTGAGGCTGTTGCACTCAAAAGTTCTTTAGGGAGGCGATAGAGACTCGGATGCTTCTTTAGAATCGGGTGGGGCTTTGTAAAATAAAGCCATTGATGGCTGAGGAGGTCAGTAAGACAAGACGATTAGCGTTTTCAAGCTCGTCATTGATAAGATACTACCCTCCAGTGCCGGATTCGCGGAAACACGTGACCTCATCCCGCTGATTTGGGTATAAGCGCTTTCCGATATTTAGACCCTACTCACCGGACGGCGGTTAGAACTGCCCTTCGCGCTGTGGCGGAGGTTGCAGGAAGTGGCTTGGTTGGAACTTTCTAACAACATCACCCTAATGCACTTGCTCTACCGCACTGAAATCGGATGGGTCCAGGTACAAGTGCATTTGGAGCGAGGAAAGCAGAAAATAAGCTGTTGTTTTGTTGTATAGCTCTCTGCAATAGGCCAGACTTGGCTGGGGGAAGGGTTCCCCGTGAATAAGGGCTGTGGAGGTACTAAAGGGCCTGAGTACGGGAGGGGAAAAAAAAAAAAAACTCCCAGGACTTTGGGGAAAATCAGCTCGGTTGCAGTTGGGAGCGAGGCTATACCGGTGCCCATGGCCTCTAAAGTAACTCGTGGCATTCTGGGAATGGGTGGTCACTTCTAGAGCTTCCCGGGATTGTGTTTCACAAGAGATGTAGTCCCTTGAAGAAACAGTCTTATCTGGCCGTAGCTGGGGGAGGGTCCCGGGTGCCTGTTAGGAAAACGGGACCTCCCATCTTGCTCTTACTCTGAACTGATATACAAAGTACGATACTAGATTCGGAGGATGGTTCGATAAAAAATATCTGTCCAGTGTATCTTCCCACTCTAGCCTAGGGGAGGACCAGAAATAGGGAAAGGACTTAATCTATGTTTGTTGGATAATACGGTTTCACATCCCGTAAGCCATATGCATGGGTTGGTCATGTGACACACACATATGACTGGTATGGCTCATAGATATTTCCGTTGTATATTGAAAGTGTACATGATACATAAAGGGTATACGTAGAGGAGGATTCCTTCCTTAGTTACCACTTAGATCGATAGCACAAGCAAGGAAATTGATTTTTCACTCTAAACTATATTGGATTCAGCTCCTATTCGCATAACCTTGCTTCAAAATAGAAAGCTAGCTTCATGATCACCAGTATTTTCGATGCTGTTTCCGATTAGAGGTTGGCCCGACGGGAATTGGACTAAAATGCAGCTTCCTGTTGCACTTCCATTTGCGGGGCAGTCTCTCCAGTTGCCTTGCACCGTATAACAGTCTTCTTGCCTACTGATGGTGGTGAGGTGGCAATAAATTCCCTCATTTCGGTAGATCAAAAAGCTGAAGGAGGGGGGAAAAAGTAAATTTTCGGGCAAGATCTACAATCCCTGGTAAGTGAATGGCAAGAATTTGCTGCCAGAGAGAACTTTAGGAGACTCAGGGAACACCCTAGAAGGTCTTTCTGTACAGTTGATCGAAAAATTCTGAGGGATGCCGCTACGAATTTCCTCAGGAGGAATGTCTTCCGGCACTGCAGTCTTGGGAGGGGATAATATATTCTCCTATCGATATGGCGTAGAGCGGTGCACATCCAGATAGAGTTAGAGCATTTCTGAGAAGGATTCCTGCTTGGACCGAGAGACCAGCATATCACATTAGAGCGGGGTTAGCCATTGTGCTAGTGCTTGTAGGGAATTTGTGACTAGGAACAAGGTTAGGGAGTGTCTGGAAACCTAGAAACATACTCCTACTTTGTGCGGTAGCAAAGGAAGCCTCCCCGAGACAGACCTGGCTTGATTTGTCTTCGTGGTCTAGTAACTTGTGTTCGATCATGACCCTCGATGCACAGGGGTTGGTGGGTGTCAGAAAATATTGAGGGCCCGATTAGGGTGAAATGGTAGCTTGGGTTCATTTAATATTGGCTAAGGGCCCGGTGTAACGGCATAGATGGTTGATCTCTTGCCACGCACGCAGCTACGACCTCCATCACCTCCAGAGTCTCCAGTATAATCCATATGGATGCTTGCTCCCTCCACAAACAATGAGCATTATGTTTATGGCACACCCCTCACCCTGGGAGGGGCTGTTGCATGCTTTTCCCCACCCAATAGATTGACTGCGAAGATCTATATGATTAATAAGAAACTCTCACTTGCCGGCAGCGGTATCTTGTGAGCTGGCTTTCAGGGCCTGGACCTCTCAGGTAGAGTAATAAGTTGTTAGAACAGCACACTTTGACACAGGATTTATATGAATCCTATGAGTGCCGGCTTTTGGTGATCTTGCTACTGGGTGTGAGTTTCACACCCGACCAGGATGAATCGTTCTCCAAAGATAAACAGAACCCTTCTACCCAATGCAGATGGGATTACGGTGGGCAAATTCCGAGGCTGATACCCTAACAAAACAGCGTGCACTTCGTACCGGTATTTATAGGACGTGACTGGGTCCCACTGCTTTCTGACACGGGAGATACTACGGCGATTGCGTGCGGTGGCATGCGCTCCTGCTTTACCGTAGCTAATTCCTCTATCACACAATTGAACGTCAAAGGCGAATTCGAAATTTTAATGCCAACAGTCATACTGTCTCCATTGATGCACGGGGTAGGGCGCATGAGGAGATATACTAGGACTAGGGACATTCTCTTTTCCAAACGCCCTTGGGCTAGGACCTACTTTTAGTTCTCTGGCCACAGTTTATCACTCGCATAATTCCGTAGTAAAGGGTTGAACCTTAGTGATCACGTATCATACTTCGCCTGAATATCTTGGGAACTTTAGTGGCCAGGTATTGCGCCATCTGGAATAATTTTAAAACTGCCCCGGACCCATCTGACTGCTACCCTTATCCCCTGATGAACCAAACCTATGCACACCATGTAATGCAGCTTGCCCGTGAGTGCGGCACCAGGAACCATCACACCCATTCTACGAGTAGCTCAAAAGCTCGATATACATAGCCGAGCACTTGTTTGGAGAAGGCATAGCACTGGTTTCTTGGAAATTTCGGCCTTTAGAAGTCCACATTTTTCCAGTATTTGCACATAGCGCACGAATACATGGGCACAATAGTTTGAACAGAGATCGTACTTTTTTTTGCACCTTTGGACTGGCTCTTCCGAGCAGATACGGGAATTGCCATTGCTAAGGGTCGGGTTAAGAGACAAGTTGGGTTTTTAGTAGTGGAAGGGGTGGAAAACGGTACCGGTAGTTTGATATGAAATAACTAATCCTCTATGAATTAAGAATAGCCGCTATCGGAGGGGGGGTGGGCAGGTGGGCAGTACAGTCCAAGCGTATCAGCCCAATGTTACCTATCACTATCGATGGTACCGGTTCGAGACCGATCCCCAATTATGACCCCGGACAGCTTGCTTAGTGCTTGATCATCAGATCGCCAACTATGCCCGGCAAGTACCTAGTGTCAGGTAGCGAACACTTTGCCATAATCACCAATGATGAAGCACCTAGAAAAAGTGTCTACAAGCACAATACTGCACCGCTCTAATAGTTGCCGCGAGTGGCTTAGCCAACCACTATAACCTGGTCTCAAAATATCCGTGCACTTCGAGAGTTCAGTTCAGTTGCAGTTCCAACAATGTCGCTGAACGGTATCATAGGCCAGAGAAAGTGAACATCCATGGCCCTTCGCCCTTCAGTAAGGCTCCCACACTCTGTTCGCCATGCTATCCCCAACTCTTTAGGCCATGTCATGATATGATATCTAGTAATTGGGCTCAAGAAAATCTCGACCCAAGCGGGGGGTTTGCAAAGGAAGATTGTACGAGTTGTAGCTTTGTTCCGGGGTTGAGACCCTTGGCAACGGGGAAGCGGAGGCGCATGCGTTTCTAGTTGGTAACACCAGGTTGGATCTATACGGCTGGAATCGTGCCCATAAACACCCTTCACTGGCGTGAATTCCGGTAGATCCGTCTGCCTGTCGGTGTCAAAGCTGAGACACGGGCGTTAATAGTTATGAAATTCAAGGCAGATTGAGGAACTGAGAAGGAATTAGTTGGGGGATGTTGTATAGTACGATACAGACATCTTATTACGGAAGGCAGAAGCCCAAGCGCACGTTGCACTTGCACGACCTCTTGGTGACTTCTCATGTACTGCGAGTGGGGTTCATGTAACGGAGTGATAAATACAGATATCACCATGTACCACCAAGGCTTTCGTGACATTCCGACGTCCAGTCATCTCTAGACATGGGATGAAATACTAGCGCGGAACAAGCCGCGGTAAAGATGAACTGAGAGAAGACAAGTGTTTCTCTTCACAGCCCCTGCAAGTATACTAGCTTTGCGCATCCTATGACATCAGGCTAATAGCAGTCGATGTCTAGGGGGCTCCGCAAGATAACGTGAAGGGGGCGAAAATATTGTAGCATCTAGACTCTCAAAGCCCAAATCTACTCTACAAGGCCGTTGGCACGTATTCCATGTTCTATGCCTTACTTTTTCGGTGTGTTACCGGATAGAACCTATTTTACCCGTTTAGAAGGTTCTGTTTAATACGACCGCTTGTATCCAACTACTTAAAAGGAAAATGTAGGAGGCAAAATTAGGCTCACATGTCACGTCACCACTCTCCCGGTAACATTCCCGCAAGGGCATTGTTGACCACGATTCGGCACTATCTCGCCGCAGGTGCTCAGCATAAGAGGTAAGGAATACTTGGTAAAGATACCGTTCGACAAATACTCCGCCGCTCAGTCTTGATCCAAGTATATTCCCCACATGAGTCCTACGTCAACTGGGGCTCTGCTGGTGCAGCTGTTTATAGAATCCCTAACTAAGTAAGGCACCCAGTTAGCGTTTTCCTGGTCT